TAGAATAAGCTTGAGGTTCGTAGGATTTTTTTGGACGAAGATTTGATTTTTCCAATTCTTTAGGGCGTTTGGATCTCTTTAGAATTCGGATTCAAACTTTGTGTGGATCACTCTTGGTGTGAATGTCTGGTTTTGCTGTAGAGATTCCCTTGCGTGCCCCTACTAGTATGTGAAATTTACGAAGAAATGACTTATGGTGGTAAAGTTAATTAAGACTCACGGGCAGGAGCTAGCACGGATCAAGCTTCATATCGTTTTTGCAAAGGGGATATCGTTCCTGTGGTTGAAAAGACGCAAAAATGCGACGTTTTAAGTCGACATTTCATTCCTTGAGGGTTTTTTTTTCAACATTTGGGGCTGAGGCTCAGAAGGTACTTCGTTTTGAAATTTCCCTGGTGGCTCTTGCCGAATCTGCTTATGGGACAACCTAATATTATTACAAACGAATGTTACACATTGCAAATAACTGCGATTCTTTTTTGGAAGAAATGAAACGATTTTAGAGGCTGGCGTGTTTTGGTCATTCCACCAGATGCATCACTCTTCGGAATATTACAATCTTAGTACAGCTTTGAGGCAAGGTGCAATCCAGGTGAGCAAGCTCTTTGACTTTCTTTTTTATGAATTTTTTCTTAGAGGATTTTAGGAAGAGTTCCTATAGCTGTTAGAGAATGGAGAAAAACAGGCTTAGAACATCCAAAAAATCTGTATATTTAGGATTTTGCTACGATGGGTTTTGACTTGCTACAAGCCACTGTCATTCCACCGAATATCTTCCTTGTTCATCGCTATTTCAATCTGATTTACCAATTTTGGCTGCATGCAAACGTAGGTTTATCAACTAGCATATTCAGTTTAAATTCTGATAATTCGAAGCATATGAAAAAGTGCAAACGTTAAGAATTTTATATGAATAGGCTGTTCCATATTTGGGACCACTGGAATACTTCTTCAATACACCTTCCAGTCATCGTGTACATCATGGCAGAAATCCTTACTGTATTGATAGGAATTACGGTGGTACACTAATTATTTGGGATAGGTAAGCCAGATCTAAAAACATTAAAACAAGAAATTCCCAAAATTAGTTTAGATTATTCGGCACCTATGAGCCGGAGCGTAAAGGAGAAGAGATCGCTTACG